AAAAAAATGAAGATTCAACTATAATTTTATACAATTCTAACTATAAAATAAAATTTTAAATTTTAATATAGAACACGATCTAGGTTGTTATTTTTTTTAAGAAATATTACAATGACTTATATTAATAAAAATAATTTTCTTATTTTTAACACTACCTTTAAGTTGGAACTTGAAATGCATACGAGCATCAAGCTCTTAATCATTTAAAATGAATACATTTCGACATTTTCAAAACGAAACAGAAGGGTATTAAACATTATTGTGGTAACCTGCCTTTGAAGGGAAGCTATATATATATATATATATATATATGCACATTAATATTAATCCTCACCCACCTGTTATTCAGTATGGAGAGTTGGGGCAAATATCTCATTCATATGCCGAAGACCAAGAACAACCAAAGATAAATAATTAAGTAAAAAAAATGCACAAATATTATTTTTTCAAATGCAAAGACCAAGAACAACCTATTTTTGCATTGTTTTCATCATGAACATGAAGAATTTCACCGAAAATGAAAAAGAGCAAAGAATTTTTTTTATCAGTAAATTGAAAAGGAAAAGAAAAAGAGCAAAGATTATTAATTATTTTTTAGGATCTAAATTACGAGAAGACTACAAAATGTTAAATGGCTGCCAAATCTCATCTGATAAGGACTTCTGATAAAAAAAAAAAAAAAGAAAAAAAAGAAAGAAAGAGAAAAAATGATAAGGACCTTTAATTTTGGCTCTAGATGGTAGATAAAATGGACTGGCCATTCCTCCCACTCCCAGTCCACTTGGTAATAAACATATTTCCCCATTAATTCTATTTTATTTTTAATAGAAGGTAATTATATAATATATATATATATATGTATGTATGTATTTCCTTGGCCCTTTTTCAAGGTCCACCTGGTAGTAAAGATTAAAGGAAATAAAAGGAGAAAAGCAACTTATCAGTTAGCATGTTCCATTTTGATTCAAAGGCAAGAGACGGATGGAGAACCTTCAAAGTTCAAACTAGAATGTCAACACCTTTTTCTCATAGAAAAGGAATTTCAGCATGCAATACATTTTCCAGGCGCTAATTTAGGTGAAAAAAATACCAGCGAAGATCAAGGTTGCCTTTCCCATTTATGATTTCGTAATTACTTGTTCTCTTGAGAAACCTTTGGAATCATACCTACTTCCAAACATCAAAGATGAACACAAATTTGTGGAGGAGCCTTCATTTTCTTCATCAAAACAATGCGTGTTATCATTAGAATCTGACCTAATTATAGATAAGTCTATACCATTCCCTTGCAACCTAGAAGAGCTTTCTTCATCAGAGAAAGAAAAGCTATCTTCAGAATCTGATTCACTTACAGATAAGTCCTCGCCTTTGAGGTCATACTCAGTTTCTGAAAGTTCTTGATCATTGGAATCAGCTTCTGCGTCTGAAAGGATATCTCTTTTAAGCATCTCAAATTTCCTTGATTCCTGTGAGTCTTTTGTTGGACTGTCCAAGACTGAAATGGGATTCCTATTATTAGGATCACCATAAAGTGCAATGTGTGTATATTACAGCTCCAGCTCCTTCTCTGCAACAGCAATGAAGTGCCTTACAGAATCAAGCGATTGCTCATACTTTGACTTTTCCAGTGCCTGCAAAAAGGAAGAGAAGTTAGGCCAATCAGCAATTGAAGAGCAGCTTCTTACAGCACAATGAGAATATAAATGAAAAGAACATCATGACCACCTTTGCTAGTTAGTGGTTATCAACCACAAAGATGGTGACAATAATTCAAAAAGATGCCAACAAATTATCTTTCCCAAACTCCCACATCAAATTTGTGGAATAAATGGAAAAGGCACCAATATTTGACCAATCAACAGGACAACCTCATAATTCTAGTGCATAAATCAATCTCGTAAAAAGCTATGCCTTTATGTATATGCATATGGATGGTGCAGGGGACCATAACGCCGCAAAATAAATATTCTAAAAGTTGCAGATTGGAATACTCACCCTTTACTTGGACAATGTATCTACTGGTGACATGACTTCTGGCTGCACATAGTTCTTCCCTCAATAGAAGATTATGGTATCATCTCCAATTATTTGAATCAGTAACCCACCACTCAATCTAGCAATTTCCTCCACATACTCCTGCATTTGGCCAGGCTTACAAGAATTGCAAATAATCTTAACAGTTTCATGTTTCTTCCAATGCATATGCATATTAAGAATGAGCCCTCCAAATATCCCTCTTCGGCCAACTGGAACATAATTAGACCTTTTCTGTGCCATCTTTTCAATATAGAACCGTTCCTCACCAGTCAGCTCATGCGGTTTAACTACAGGACCATGAACTTTAGGAATTTCATATCGCTTAAGCCTTTCAATCAGTAAGGCTTCCTTGATTTTAGCCTTGAGAAAATAAATGGACAAACAAAAATACCAAATGTCAAACTCTTTTTAAGTACAGGACTCACAAGTAAGCATGCAAATAAAAATTGGCATTCTCATCAATCAAAAACTAGCAAAATCAAGATTCCACAGAGCTTCACTTTATTTGTTAGAATTTAGAGCATCACATAATAATCAAAAGACTTACTGCCAAAAGCAAAAGTTAATAAATGGAAGATTAGCCAAATTATGATTACCTTCTCAATCTTGTATTTAATTCTTTCCCCAGCATTTGCAAATTTCTCCTTCTTGTTTCCTTTTATGCCAAGCCATCGTGGATCCTTCCTATTTGCTGCTTTCCTCTCTTCTTTCTCTCTCTTTCTCTGCACCTTCAGTCTCTTCTTGGTCAGCCACTTCTCCTTCTTAGGAGGGTCAACCTCATGAGTTTCAAATTTGGGTTTTCCTTGTGATAACAGCAGGTTCACCCTACCATGACTAAAGTTTCTGGACAGCCATGAAGGGCTTGGTGGAGTTGGGAGTTCTGAAGAACATAAAATTGTTGATTTCACTTGCAAAACTGACCTGGGAAAACAAATAACATGACTGCGGACTCACTATACAAATGCAAAAACACCCACAATAGTTAAAACTGCAAACGGTTTCTAAAATTTCCCTTGAACAAGCAGTCATTTACTGTATATGGCCCAAACCATTATCTCCTACCCATGGTTTGCTCGCATTACAGAATACTGTTCAACTATCAGTATTCTCTTGTAATTTCAGCGGTAAAGTTATTTGCTTTCCATTGCCAATTGCCATAGGAAGAACCATGAACATAACAGTATAAATTTTTCTCAAGAACCCATCAAAAATTTTCACAAAATTGAGCAGAATTAAGTTCTTACATGAAAAAGACAATTAACCTCTGAATTCAAAGCTTGAGTCGAAGAAATCTGTATAACTGAGATAAAGATTTTAAATACCCACGTGAACACAGATGCTATGAACATGAAAGAACGTAATTTTCAAGTGTTTTTACCCGAAAGAAAAACGATTTGGAGAAGAATTCCATAAAAACGGAGACGCCCTCCGTAGGCTACGAAACAAAGCTTTCGTCATTGATGAAAAGCTTAGACCTTCTATTTGAAACAATGGCCGACTCCTCCTGAAACTGAGTGGACAATCGCGGCTGTAGTCCGAACCCGACCCAGAAAATGTAATGGTTTCAATGGCGGGTAAACGGGTCCCGCGTTTGGGACCCAAACAGGGGACGATCACGCGCGGCCAAATCCAGTGAATTTTTGGTAACTCTTAAAAGGTTGACGTATTTTTAGTAAGAAATCCAATCTTCTTTTGCCACATCACCCGCCCGCGCATCCCTATAATCTCAACCCTGAACTCGCACCCTTCTCCGTTTTGCCTGTTTTCGACTTCTGACCGATCATCAGAAGATCACCACCTTGATTATTAAGAAGAAAAGTTCAAAGTAAGTCTGTTTAATTTGAATTTAATTGTTATTTTATTACAATTATCAGCCTGATATTAATTCATTTGCTTTGAATTTAAGATTTTTCGGGAAATCAAGGTTTGCATGTTGGGATAGATAAGATAAGTGGGGATGATTTGTTGAGGTTTTTTCACTTTTCAAATTTTTTGCTGTTTGGTTGCTGAGAAAATGTGGGTAAAGGCTAAAACGTTAAAAAGTTTTGATCTTGATAGTTTTTACTTTGCTTTCTTGGGTTTTAAAAGATGGGATTTTTCTTTGTTTCATTGTCCAGCCCTACTCACCATTGTAGGATTAGGGTTTGGTTAAGCTTTTTCATTTTGGATTGTAAAATCGAGGGTTAGTCGGGAAATTTTGTGATTAGGGTTTGTTTGGTAGATGAGTGAACCGGGAAATCCAAGAGAGGAAGCATGGTTCATTTTCAAGGTCGTCCTCTTTGCTCAGGTTTCTTGGCAGGTAGATAAGGACTTGGGTTTGATTTGAAGGCCATTTGTTAAGTAGTATATTCTGTTGTTTGCTTTGTTAAAGTTCAATATAAGGTTCATCATATGGAATATGGTAGAGATTCTAGAGAATGTAGCTAACTGCTTTTTGTGTGTTCTTTCCCTAGAGTTGCATCCTGGATTTGTATTTATGTCTTTATCATGGAAAACTGAAAGAAGAGAATTCAAAATTGGAAATTTATTAATTTGTATTTTTGTTGCTGTGATCTGTGATTCCTGAAAATCAATTAAGAATATTGATGACGCAAGCTCGTTTGTTTAGCCACGTTGAATGCTTGAACGCTCTTATGGACCTAAAAAATGGGAAATATAGAAGTATAAAACTTAATGTTTCTCTTATGCTCCGCTCTTCATTTTTCTGCAATCACTGAAAAAGAAAATGGCATTGTCATTGCAGTGGATTTTGGGGTTCATGGCAGTGTCAACGGTGGAGCAATGGATTCTGTTGAACTGGAGGCTGTTAGCATGAGTAATGAAAATGAAATGGGAGGAAATTCTTCTGAAGGAGACTTTCAACTGGATGAGAATGATAAAATTGATCAAGATTCTCAGGAAGATGAAGGAATCCCACAGGGTGTCAACGAAGGTGAGCCTTATGTGGGACAGGAGTTTGAATGTGAGGCAGCTGCTCATTCGTTTTACAATGCTTATGCCACAAGAGTGGGATTTATCATTCGTGTAAGCAAACTTTCGAGGTCAAGACGTGATGGATCTGCTATTGGAAGGGCACTCGTCTGTAACAAAGAGGGTTTCAGATTGCCTGACAAGCGTGAGAAAATTTTGAGACAAAGGGCAGAGACCAGGGTTGGCTGTAGGGCAATGATATTGGTGAGGAAAGTAAGTTCTGGTAAATGGGTTGTCACAAAGTTTGTGAAGGAGCACAGTCATCCTTTGACACCTGGAAAAGGTCGAAAGGATTGCATTTATGAACAATATCCGGTCAGTTTTTCTCTCCTATAATATATATCCTATTTCCTCTAGTCTGTTAGTTTATCTCTAGAGAAGCTCAATATTTTTGGTAAATGAGGTTGTAGTGACCTAAATAACATATGGATGTTTTTCAGACATTTTATCTCATATATTGAATCTTTGGTATGTAATTTTAGGGAAGGCCTTTTAAAACATTAATCCATGTTCTTTTTGGTATGAGAACAGTTAAATGAAAACAGGTTCTAGAATTTTCCTTCACTTGAGTTATCCACCTTCCAACAGAAAAAGAAAAAAAAAAGGGAAATAAATGAAGGAAAGAACATCCATTTGAACCAATATGTGACAAATAAAGGATTTCTTTCATTGCTGCGATTTACTTACCAAGAATGAAGAGTTCTTGGGCTGGAAGTGGGAGGCCGATATCTCTGGTATGTTATATTTAGACACGTAAGCATGCTTACGAAGTCAAATAACTCTAGGTTCCATTTAAGAGCTGTTTAAATTTTTTGGTAAAATGTTCAGATACCCTTGGATTTACGTCATCTTTATCTAGGCTTCGCAAGTTGTGAGTGCAACATTTACCCTTCTTTCTTTGAATGAAATGGACCAATAGAGCTTCTTCCATCTGTGATTCACTATCAGGGTTAATAAATGCAATTATCATTATTGAATCCTCCATACTTGTGCCTACTATGTTTGCTGAATTTGTTTTGGCGATCACTGTGTTTAGCAACAGATGATTTCAGATATCTCCCAAAAATCATGAAAGCAACAAATCATTTCTTAATGAATGAAATTTTCTTCTCTAAATTTAATGTTAGATATCTTACCTGGAAGATACATGCATTTGAGTATCGCTGTTTACATTTTGGTTAGGAATTTAACATTTTGTGTTGAGCTTGCTCTATTCTCTCGTTTTTGCAGAATGAACATGACAAGATTCGTGAACTGACTCAACAGCTGGCGCTTGAGAAGAAGAGGGCCACCACTTACAAAAGACAACTGGAGCTGCTCTTTCAACAAATTGATGAACACAACGAAAGCTTATCGAAGAAGGTTAAGCACATTGTAGATAGTGTGCAGCAGATGGAAAACAATGACCAGCAGGGCCGCATATAGTTTAAGACTTTCAAGATATATCATTCCTTTTTTTTCTTTCTTAAATTGAAATACAGGATGAAGAACTAGTATAGAGAATTGGGGTCAGATAAAGGGCACAATTTTGTGCCTTGGTTTGTTTCCTCATGGTTTAGGGATATAACATGTTGATGTTGCTGTAGGTTTTCCAACAGAAACTAGTCAGTTGTATGGAGTCTATGCCATTCATTGGGAATTCAGTGTACATGGTTGGTAGGATAAACCAGGCCAATCGATGTACAATATTTGAAGCCCATCCGATGCAGTTGTGCCATTGATGCTGGCGTCTGGGATGTTTTCTAGGCTGGAAGATTTATGTATACAACATTTTTTCATTTGAAGGATTGTTTTTGGAAAAGTTTTATACCCCTATGTGCTGGTTGTTTAGACTTTATCATTGTTGTACAGGAGTCTATTTGTATTTAATTAATTGTTTGTCACATTGGCATTTTGTTATTCTACTCTCTTGTAGGAAGGGATTATGTACTAGATAAAGGCTTTCTTTTCTAGTTTTTTAATATAAAAAACTTTTTTTTTCAAAAATGAAAATTAAAAATCAGTTATTTTTACTTTTGTCTTATATAAATCTTTAGCTTTGTCTCAGTTATTAAGATAATCATGCCAAAGGTTATTTTTATTATTCTCTAATTTTCTCTCCTTTTTTTCTTATTATTATTCCAATTCTCTTGCACTTGAGCCTTCGGGTCCAGTAGCGTCAAGTCAAATATAAGTATATTCCTTCCACTTCAGGGCAACGGTTTGAGCTTGGTTTTTTGCAAATTTATTCAAAAAAAAGAAATTATTCCAATTCTCTTTTTCTTTGTAACCATGACACCAATAGGTCATTCATGCTCTGACTAAGAAATTTACACTGGCTTACCTACTCATGACACTCACAACTAAGTGAAGAAGGTAAACTCTTCTTCTAGCCGAGCTAAAGTTACTCCATAAAATTTCTTGTAATCTATCTACAATATTATTAATATTTTTTATACAATAAATAAAATTATATTAGTAATAATAAGGTAAATTATTGATTATATATACCTCTTTTATTTCAAAATATAAAAGTCGTTTGACTTTCTTACACTTAATTTTAAGTAATTTTTTTAATAATGCATAAATGATAATTGAGATTTTCATTTTAGCTATGTATAACTTTTTGTTAAGTAATTGCATTTGATTATAAAAAAATTAATTATTATTTATATATTATAAAAATGTATGACCTAGAAAGATAGGAAAAAAAGTCAATAATTTAATGAGTTTAATAATATATTAATAATATGTTGATCTAAATAAAAAGAGTTCAATTTCTTTTAAAGAAAATATCGAGTTTGAGTTTTACAAATTTCATTTATCTTCGAGTGATCTTTAACACGGTGGTAAAGACCAATGGAGATCACTTGAGGTTCATAGGCCATTTCATTTATCTTCCGTAAATGATTAGGCACTTTGAAAATATTACAGCTTAACGAATCTGATGAAACATGACCTTGGAGCTGCAGATCTATTCGAATGTAAAGAGCTTTATCACTTCCAACTGCCATCTCCAGCTAAAAAAAAAAAAATTCAAATGACAATTGGGGGAAAAATTAGAAAATAAACAGATTCACACTTTAAGTGAAAAAAGAAAAAAGAAAAAAGAAAAAGAAATACTATATTCAAAGCCCAGAAACTTTACGTAATTCGAGGAGGCAGTTACGGCCACCAGCATCATTGCTATGTTTATCAAAAATTGTAAAATATCATCTTTAAAAATATTAGTTTTGTTTAATTGAATTTATAAGAATTACTAAAAATTGTAATTATTAAATAATAATTTATAAAATAATTAATATTTATTAATTAATAAATTAAAATTAATTAATTAATTGATATTTTTAGATATTGTTTAATAAATAATTTAATTAATTTAATAATATACTAATGATTTGTTAGTATAAGTAAAATGAGCTCAGTTTCTTTTAAATAAAGATTTAAATTCGAGTTTTATGAATAAAGAAACAAGTGTTGAAAGAATTTTCTCTTAATAGGGTTCAATGCAATTTGATTTTAGATTAATTAGGATTAAAGGATATTAAAAAATTAATACTAACAAAATTAGTTTAATAATATTTTTCATAAAAATAAAATATTTTATATCTAAATCACATAACGTGCATATGAAATAGAGTAAAACCGATGAATATGAAAGACTTACCTCCCACTCAGAATCTTTAAAACAAAAAAAAAAAAAAAAAAAAAAAAAAAAATCAACTTTGGAACGAAGAGTGGAATTTTACTTTTAACCAATGAAACGGAGAGAGGGAGGGAGGGTTTTCTCTTGACTTTCAGTTCCCATTTTCTTATCTGACGTGTGAAAAAAGTATTGGCTGACTGAATCTCTGACCAATAAAATGTCGACTCTAAGATTGAACAAATGCAAACCACACCAAAACCCTACTCTGTTCTGCTTTCAGTGGTCGTTACTTCTCTGCCTTCGCTCCGCCGCCCGCCGCCCGCCGCCGCTTCTCTCCCCTTCAGCTCCGCCTTGTGCTAACTGTTATCGTCAGGTACTGCCTCCCACACAATAGTCAATAATAATTTGCTAAAACAATTGATTCAATCCCTTTTGCTCATACAGTTTCCCTGAAAGATGAAGAGGATGATAGCCCTTGGCTTTGAAGGATCGGCGAACAAGATTGGCGTCGGCGTCGTGACGTTAGATGGCACCATCCTTTCAAACCCACGTCATACCTACATTACACCTCCAGGACAAGGGTTTCTTCCCCGAGAAACTGCCCAGCATCATTTCCAACATGTGCTTCCACTAGTCAAAGAAGCATTGAAGACAGCCCAAGTAACCCCGGATGAAATTGACTGCCTCTGTTACACCAAGGGTCCCGGCATGGGAGCACCACTTCAAGTTTCTGCTATCGTCGTGCGAGTTCTTTCCCAGCTGTGGAAGAAGCCAATTGTTGCAGTTAACCACTGTGTAGCACATATTGAGATGGGGAGGATTGTGACTGGGGCAGATGACCCTGTTGTTTTGTATGTCAGTGGTGGGAATACACAGGTGATTGCTTACAGCGAAGGGCGATACAGAATCTTTGGGGAGACCATTGACATAGCTGTTGGGAATTGCTTGGACCGTTTTGCTAGGGTCTTAACACTCTCCAATGATCCAAGCCCTGGATATAACATTGAGCAGGTTCGGAAGTCTCAAAGTCAGGACATTTGAATTTGAATTTACTCCCTTGATCTTTCAATTGAGTTCTAATTGGGAAAAAAAAAGGGTTGAAGTTGCGATCTTTAGACAGAATGAACTTGTGTTGCTTTTGTTACAGATCATGTTCCAGAGGCATTTCTATATGAGATGACTTATACATCTTTCTTGTTCGACAGCTTGCAAAGAAAGGAGAAAAATTCATTGAGCTTCCATATGTTGTCAAAGGAATGGATGTTTCCTTCAGTGGAATACTGAGCTACATTGAAGCAACAGCCGAAGAGAAGCTCAAGAATAATGAATGCTCCCCGGCAGATTTGTGTTATTCCCTTCAGGTGAGTTATAACTCTCCGTTAAAGAAAGTGAATTCTCGTTATTGGAAAATGCATTACTTCTGTGTGTGTTACTATATTGATGCATTTTGGCGTTGAATTGTAATGCTAGGAAACTTTGTTCGCAATGCTTGTGGAGATTACAGAAAGGGCAATGGCACATTGTGACAAGAAAGATGTTCTTATAGTTGGTGGTGTTGGTTGCAATGAGCGTTTGCAGGAGATGATGAGAACAATGTGCTCCGAGCGGGGTGGAAGGTTGTTTGCCACTGACGACCGGTACTGCGTTGACAATGGAGCAATGATAGCATACACCGGTCTGCTTGAGTTTGCTCACGGCTCATCAACACCACTTGAGGAGTCTACATTCACCCAGCGTTTCCGGACTGATGAGGTGCATGCTATCTGGAGAGAAAAGGAGTCTCTCAAGGAGAAGGGTGCATGAGTTGGATTGATTTGGAGATTAGATGGGTCACTTCTGCATTGCCTTACAAAAGAGGACCACAACTACATTAGCTCATGCATTATTGAAAATGTTAACGAAATAGCCTGGGAAAGTAGATGCATTGGTCATACAGCCTATGTTGTTTATCTAATGTGCTAAATATATAGGCACAACAATTGTTATTTGAAAACGCCATCGTCACTCATCTATTGGTTTTATGTGATTTTATGTCACCCAAGTATTGTACAACTTGATAACCCAAGATCTTTTGCTTTCACTAATAAAAGGGGAAGATTATCCCTGACCATTAAGTTGTTGGCTCTTTGAGACCTTGTGTTTTGATGTAGATTATGAGGGAACAGATGTTGAAATCAGTTGTTATATAAAATTTCATGGGTGGATAAAAAAGTAAACATGATTGACATTATAGGAACTAATTTACTCAATGCATTGGATCAATGGATTGCGCCATACATCGATTCTAACTTGATTTATAAGCAGATGACACCATGACATGTATAAAGCCAAGGCCAGACTGCAATCATAGAGAGAAACTGCCAGGGGACAATCACCTATGCTACCTCCATCTTGATACCCGTCTCTGCTGTGCCGGCAAGAGTACAGACACCACATGCTCAAGCATGAACCAGGATGACAATAAAGCCTTCACCTGGATCCACAGCCCTATAAGTCATCTCGAATTATGAGACAGGAAGAAGCACCTTCCAGGAGCGGGGAACAAAAAAAAACATCAGAGAAAACCAACAATCAAAATCATTGCTTGACTAGTTTGGGGACAAGACATTATCAAAAATAAAGGAAAGCATAGGCACAAGACATAAGACATAGATGAAATACACCCTACAATAGGTTGCCGGGTGCTAATTCAGCATAGAAAATATTAAAACTTCAAACAACATATAACTTCTCTGCTTAAACAAGAGGTACGCCGCCCATTGTCCTCAAGAGACTTGTCAAGTGCATATCTGTAGTAGACATCAGACTTGCCATCAGTTTAAAAGACAAACAAAAGTTTAAACAAGTTTGTGATAGTGATCTAAATAGTACATGACAAATATAATCTCTAACATAATATCAGAAAAGAACAGATGGGCCTGCATTAATTCTAAGATCCCTCAAAACCTTGAATGGTCAGGTGATGGAACTGATTCATCTCTTTCTACCACCACGCTCCCTCAAAGAAAGAGTAAGGGTTTCCCCCCCTCCAACATTATAGTATGCAAGTGACATATTGTCCTTGAGAAATCCAGCTTTTCCACTCAATTTCTGTTTGTTTGCAGGAAGCTGGATCTCCCCAGCAATTTTCTCCTTTAAACTGCCAACAGTTTCTGACAAGGCCTGCACAGTGATCTCAAGAAGTTGCCCTCTGAGATTTCCTTCATCAAGGTTGGGAACAGAGACAGTGATACGAACAGGTCCCTGCAACAGAGAAAAATATAAAATAAAATATAATATAATAAGTAAAATTAGAGCACTAAAAATCAAGCAACATAAACTAAGTTCAACATAAACCACAAAAAGTAAAACTCTTTGTACCGGATGTTGGGCAAGAAACTGATCTTCTGGAATAAGTGTGGAATCATCAAGCTTCTGCCTCTTTGGCTCAGGTTCTTCGGGAAGTGGTGGAGGAGCTTCTTCAGGTGGTGGTGGTGGAGGCACTCCTTGAGGCAAAGGAGGTGGTGGCTGCATCATAGGCATGGCAGGTGGTGGAACTGGAACAGGAGCAAAAGCTCGGGGAACTGCCATAGGTGTAAATTGAGATCCTGGTGGCGGTGGTGGATTCATAGTCATGGATAGAGGCATTTGAGGTGGCCGATTCATCATAATGGGTGGTTGGCCGGGTGGCATTGGCATTGGAGGTTGTGATGGGCGAATAGATGGTGGCATCATTGGTACACCAATTGGCCTGGATTGAGGTAATGGAACTGGAAGCCCACCACTGGATGGAGCTGAATATTGGACTGTGTTTGGAGGCACACGAGGGAGGTTCAATGCCAGCCCAGGTGGTGGAGGAAGAGGGCGAACTAATGGGACACCAGGTCGGGGAGGAGGGGCAGCGGGACCAGGAAGGTTCTTTGCATCACCATTAGCAGTATCACTTTGATCATCTCCGTTAATATTTTGAGACATTGCCTGGTTAGCAGTACGCCCAATGCTTCCAGTATGCCCATCCCATATAACCTGCTTTGGTTGCTCATCTTTCTTCTTTTCAATCTCTGCCTTCACAGCATTAGATACTTCTTCCTCTGTGGTACCAAAGATATCAGGACGTGTTCGTGCAAGCCCCACAATGTTTCTTGAGATCTCATCATCCTGAGCAAGTGTTGTCTCCCGAATCTTAGCAAACATTCTCTCTTTCTGCTCCTTGTACTTGGGATCAATGAGGGAAATTCTCATGTGCTCAGACATCTCATTAATGGGAATTAGCTCTCCAGTAATTGGAGAAACAACAAACTTGGTAGGGTCTCTTTCTGCAGGGATTCTCTCTTCAGGTCTCTTCCAGTTCTTCACAATCCTCATTGGTCGTTCTGGTTCCTCATTTACCTTCACATCCTTCTTTTCACTATCATTCTCTCCAAGTGTAGCAGCTCTCATGCCTTCCTCAACGAGCTGGACCTCTTCTTCATCCATTTCCATTTCTACCTCCTTTCCAGGCTCAACAATTTCATCTTCTTCTATAGCAGATATCTTGCTCCTCCTTATAACCTCCTCAAGGGTCATTGGAGGAGGTAAGTCCTCATCTTCATCATCTGCAAAGTCTATAGTTTCAACCACAACAAAATCATGCCAATCAATCATTTGCATTTGCTGTCTCTCCTGCTCAATTTCATCTTCAGCTTTCTGCCTTGCCTGTTCCTGTGAGCGCTCCCATTCTAAGCGATGCAAGCACCGTTCAAGAACAGTAGTCATGTCTGAGACACTCTTTCTCAGCTTCTCTGTCAAACCCTTCGGTGGCATCAACACTTTTGAATAGGCATCAGCAAGTTCAGTAAAAAATGTAAACATGCTATGAGTTGGCCTCAAAAAGTTGAACTGGGGATTGTTCATCTCTCTACTAGATAATCCTGTTAAGAAAGACTTCCCATTTCGAGCCACAAACTGTGCAGTGAGCTTTATAATATCAAGTTCTTCCCCAGTAATACCTTCAGGAAGTCTAACAGTATATTGTGCTGCTTCTGGTGGTTCAAGATTCTTGCGGGGAGGTGGTCTAAACTGGGCAGAGGGATCAGGCTTCGCTGCTTCTTCATTAACAACACCAGCAGAAACTGTTGAAGCTGACTCAGGAACAGCAGATTCTGCAGGCTGGGAAGGAAGTTGCTGTGTGGAAGACTGATTCTGAGCACGGAATTCAGACAAACGATGTTGATAGTAAGCATGGTAGGGATCTGAGCCACTCAAGAAATTGAACTTTGCATTGTTAGCATTGTTGGCGATAATCCTTTTCTCAAATTCAGGTCCATTCTTTGCAACAAACTGAGCCGTTTTATCCACAATGTTTTTGATATCTGGGGGAGGATGTATAATTCCAATACTCCTGGTGTGAGTTGCAACTGAGGCAGGAGCCAATTTGGCCTTGTTCTGCTCCTCATTTGTTGATTTATCTTCCTCCGTTTCCTCTGGCAGTTGAGATGCAGGCAGAGGCCCAAGATTTCCATCAGAAGGAGGTGCTGGAAGAGGCAAGATTGGCAACGTGCCTGGCATTTTTACAAAACAATCAGCAAAGGTACAGAGAAAGCAGCCAGCATCAACAGAGTTCCACCTATAAGAAATTTTCTACCTGCAACTAACAAATTCCAGGCAAACCAGATTAGTCCATCCCAAAATCAAATAAAAACTTCATATTGAAAACATGAGAGAAAAACCAAAGATCCTTAGCAAATTGAGCTAACGATAAATGATTAAAGTACTTTTTTCCTCCTATTACTTACAATCAGATCAATGGATGTCATGGGCTACTAAGAATTAAAACACTTTAACACCCCTCCTACTAATCTTTAGAGCAAACTAATGAAATCCCGATTTACGGTTGCATTAGACCTCAAAAACTATGCCAATTTCTCTGCACCACCAAAAAACCTGACAGTCAAGGAATTTTCAAATTTCAAAAAAAAAAAAAAAACCTGTATTTCACAGGTATGCATCTAATAAGCATCAATGGTATATAAAACTGAAACAGATTGACTGAAGCTGAGATTTACTTTTTCCTTGACTTTTTTTTTTCTTGGAAACCAAACAGATCTAATTAAGAAGAAAAAACTTTCATCGGTTTCAATCAGCACACGAGTAAAAATGGATTATCGACGAAGAAAAAAAAGATTAGCTTGAGAACTAGGGATTGAGAGTTCCCGAAGATGCTAGAGAACGAGAGAATTAGGGTTTTTTCAGGTAAAACACGAGAGGAAAAGACAGTACCTGAGCTTGGGCAGAGCAGACCTTCGGTTTTAGGGTTTCGAAGGGGAAGGGGAGAATTCACAGACGAAGGGAAAAGGCAAGAGGGTAGGGAGAGGGACTGGGATTTTGCTGCGTATTGTAAAAGCATCGAACCGACATCATGCCTTAAAAAGGCCCACTCTTAAGAGTTCAACTTCAAATTACAGTCCAATTTAGTTAATAAGGCCCAGTAACAAAACTTCTGTGCTTTAAAAAAAAAAGTGTAAATAAAAATATTAATTTTATTAGTTTT